GGAAAGCTCTGGGAGGGGGCCAGATCCATCACTTAGCCTGGCTGCCACAGACAACCCCTCTGCCGGAGCACATGCTGCTCCAGCAATGGCCTTGGCTGACGTCTTTCTGTTCCCTCCATATGCAAACCTCTTCTCCTGGCTCTCCTGCTGGCTGGCCCTTTCTTATCACTTTGGTGTCAGTTCAAGCGACCTCCTCAAAGAGGCCTTCTATAGCAGATACTACACCCACATCTACCCCACTCACATCCCACGGCCCTCACCGTTCCTGTCCTCGCTGATGGCTTCTGTTGCAAGTCCCTAGGACTCTCTGCTCAAGGCCGTTCTCTGACACTGGCAGTGCTCAGCCTGTGTGCCTGTGGGATGGACCAGACGGGCCAGGGAGTTAACACCCCAGAGCAGCACTCATCCAATTGAGGAGGAAGAGGTGGATGACACTCTGTCTTCTTTACTCCTTGGTTGGCACGTGTTGAAGGCAAATCTACGCCGTTTCCCAGAAGTCTCTGCAGCACCAACCCTCAGCTGCCCACTGCTGTACGCTGCTCATTAGCACACCCTTCGCGGGCTCCAGCCCTTCCTGTCTCACGTCTCCACTCTCGCCTCCACTCTACCACCTCCCAAATAAACTGCTTGCCCTCCAATTCTTGGCTCAGGGTCTGCTTCTGGGGGTCCCCAATCTAAGACCCTTCCATGACCCTTGAAACAAAGATCCACTCAAGTTGTCCACACCCTCTCTCCTCTCTGTGTGCTTTATTTTCTCAGCAGAATTTTATCACGATGTGAGATCATTTTGTTTCTAAGTTAGTGTGTGTCTCTCTCGATAATCTAGGGGTTCCATGAGGGCTGAGAGCCTCCCTGTCTTGTTTATTACTCTGGCCCCAGCCTAATCCAGTATGGTTTCATAGTGGGCACATAATGTCATTGTCGTATGACTGCAGTTTCCCTCATTTCACCCTCCCCACCCTCTGCGATGATGTAGAAACAGTTTGAGTCTCTGAGGTCACAGAGAGGTTGGGCAAGTTACCTACAGCCCCACAGCAGTGGACTGGAGCCCAGGGTCTGCCATCCAGCGCACTGTGGCCTCCTTTAAACACTGCCTCTCCCAGGGAGCCACTCACCTGGATGCCAGGTGAGACATGCCCTCTGTTCTCAGGTCAATTCTCCCCTGAGGAAACACACTCACTCGAGGGCATCTTTCTGGGCCCCACTTGCCTCCCTTTTAGAAGCTGGAGGCGACAAGAGCTTGTGTCAGTCTGCTCAGGCTGTGTAACAAAACACCACAGGCCAGGATGCTTCAATATCAGACAGTTGTTTTCTCAGTTCTGCAGGCTAGAAGTCCAAGCTCAAGGTGCCAGAAAATTTGGTTTCTGATGAAGACTCTCCTCCTGGCTTGCCAATGGCTGCCTTCTCACCATGTCCTCACATGGCCCTTCTTCTGTGTGTACGGCGGGGTGGGGGGGGGGGGGGGGGGGGGGGAGAGAGAGAGAGTTGCAGTGTCTGTTCTGTATATAAGGACAACAGACCTATGGGATTAGAGCCCCACCCTTATGACCTCGTTTGACCTTAACGACCTCCTTAAAAGCCCTGTCTCCAAGTACAATCACTGTGGAGGTTAGGGCTTCAACACCTGAATGTGGGGGAGACACAAGGCAGTTTGTGTCAGGGCTCCTTAAAAGAAATGTGATCATAGCCCCAGTCGGCCCTAGACTGCAAAGAGTCTGGAGAAGCTGGGCACCCGCTGGGAGCCGTGCTAACCCAGTGGTGGGGCTGGTGCGAGATCATCAATCACCGTGATGAGCCCTCAGATAGTGCCCAGGATGAATGGGAAAACTGACGTGATTAAACTGGGATCGTCTGCCGATGGCTGACAGCCACTCCCAGTGCAAAGTAGCACCACCAGGCCTAGGCTCCTGGCACCCGCCGAGGCCCCTGCCCCTCCTCCCGCCAAGGTTAAAGGGTTGTCCCTCCAACCACACAGCTCCCTGTCATCCCGGCATGAGGGAGCAAGGGGTGCAATGGGACCAGTGCGGGTGCTGGGAACCTGGGGGGATAATATCATCAGTCACCATTCAGGCAGCCTGGCCCTTGTTAATAATTAATAGTAACAAGGAGGGCACTGAATGAGCACTTGCTGTAGATACTTCAGGTGTGTTTCCTCATTTCACACATCAAACCAGGGAGGTCAGAGTTAAGTCAGGTGGTGAGGGCAACAGTTTCTGGAGGAAACAGACAGATGGGCAGAGAGGGATTCATTTCTCCATTTATTCATCTATTCACCCAACTAATTTTTATTGAGCACCTACTACGTACCATTATATCCACAAAGGTGAGCAAAACCCACATGGTCTCTGCCTTCCTGGGGCATGGATGATTAAAAACTAATTAAATAAGATAATTTCAGGTAATAATAAATGCTAGAAAGAAAATTAACTAAGGTGGTGCAAGAGAGAGTGGGAGAGGAAGCAAGTTCAAATGGGATGGTCAGAGAAGGCCTCTTGAGGGAAGGGACATCTGAGCTGAGACCAGAGGTGGAAGGAGCTGGCCATGGGAGTCGCTGGGGAGAGTATCCTAGGCAGAGAGAACAGCAAGCGCAAAAGCTCAAAAGCAGCAATGAACTTGGTGCATCTGGGGGGTTGAAAGGAGGCCCCTGAGGCTGGCTCTGCAAAGTGAGGGGGATGCGGGTGAAGTGGCATCAGAGACAATAGACGGGCCTCGTAGGACAAGGTTGGGAGTTGGGATACTATTTTAAGTGGAATGGGATCCCTCTGGAAGGCTTTCAGTAGAACTGAAGTTTTGTTTTAAAAGAGCCACTGAGGCTACAGTACAGAGGATAGACAGAAGGGCAAGAAGGGAGAGTAGTTACAAGGCGTTGAAGCCATTGAGGCTTCGTACCACTGTCACCACCATCATCACCATCACCACCATCATCACCATCACCACCGTCATCACCACCGTCATCACCATCATCACCATCATCACCACCACCACCGTCTTCACTGCCACCACCATTATCACCACCACCACCACCATCACCACCATAATCATCACCATCATCACCACTGTAATCATCACCATCAGCATCACCACCAGCATCACCATCATCAGAGGCAACAAGATGATAGTGAGTTGGACTAAGATGGTCATAGGAGCAAAGGAGTGAAGTGGGGGGATTGGGGTGTATTTTGGAGTGAAGTCCAACAGGGCTTGTAGGTGGATTGTGGGGGGTGGGGAGGAATTGGGGAGGAGAAGCAGCAACTCTGGCTGAATCCCATGGTATTTCCCCCACTTGGATAATCTACCCAGTCTCCCTGCTTCTTTCTTGACTCTCCCGTCTCACTAGCAGCTCCCAGGTCCTGATCCTGCTTCAGGCAATCGTGGTGTGGCTGAAAGGGCTTGGAATTGGGCATCCAAGCTTCTCACTCTCTGTGCAACTGAACACATGGTTTAACCGTCCTGAACTTCAGTTCCTTCATACGCAAAATGGAATGGTGGTAATACCTACCTCATAGGATTCTGGGGCTAGTGCTGGACTAAACTTGCACTTCATCCAGTCTGGGCTCTTTGGATGGGGTGGCTGCGGAGACTGAGGCCACTCAAAGACTCTTAATCAGCTACAGGTTCCAAACACCCTGTCTGGCAGTTCCAGAATTAATGTCAAGAATCTCTTGGTTAAGGAAAATGCCTTCTTTCCAGTTCTGAGTGTGTGTGTATTGTGTGTGGCAGGGAGAGAGAGAGGGAGACTAAGGAAGTGACTATCATCAAAAACCTTTAAATATGGATATTTCAGGCAAAATAGTTTGGATTTATGGTCTAAAATAGTTGAGTTTGCATCTTTATACCAGATTAACCTGCATTGGAATTGAATCCTGTCACCTATTAGCCATGTGGCCAAGTAATATTAACTTTCTGAGCCTCAGTTTTCCTGTCTTGCATAAAGGGAATAATAATAATGTGTCTCGTAAGGTTTTTGTGAGAATTAAAGCCTTAATTTATGTAAAGTACCTGGTACTTAGCAAGTTCTTGGTGACTGTTAGCTGCTGTCATCACTTCATCACCCAAACTAAGACACTGGATTATCGTGAAGATTAAATTTGAAGCTCTTGGCATCATCACCATCACCACCACCATCATCACCATCACCATTGTCACCATGACTATCACCATTACCATCATCACCATCACCATTGTCACCATCACTATCACCATTACCATCATCACCATCACCATTGTCACCATCACTATCACCATTACCATCATCACCATCACCATTGTCACCATCACTATCACCATTACCATCATCACCATCACCACCACAGCTATCACCGTTATCATCTTCACTGTCATCAGCATCACCTTACAGGGTGAAGCAGGTACTATCAATGTACCACCAACTTCCCTTCAGCGTTTACCATTTCAGTGTACCGTGGCCACCTTCTAATTGCCAGATCTGTATCTCTTTACCCAAGGGCTCTCTCTGGCTCCCGGAACCCATGAAGCCTGTGCTCATGCAGCTGGAAGTGCCAGGGAAGAAACGCCCACCCTCCTCAGGTTCAGCCCTCAACCAATGACTCACAGGAGTTGAGGAATAAATGTCCCTCGGGTGGGGACAACTCTGATGAATATCTTCTACATGGGTTCTCAGAGCTCCCCGGCAGAATTAAGCTCTGGTTGCCCACAGTGGTAACTTGCTTGATCACGCATCCTTTCATGGGCTGCCTCCCCTTCTCTATCTCGCCTCCCCACTCTCTGGTGTTTCCTGGGATCACTATTTGCCCTGGAATCATTGTCTCAGGGGCAGCTTCTGGGGGAACTCAAGTGGAGACACTGGATCATTGTGAAGATTAAACTTGTAAAGCTCTTCACATATACTAAGGGCTTAATAAATTTATTGTTAAATGAATGAATGAATGAGGCTTCACCTGCCCCGAGGAGACAGACCCAGGGTAGGGGAAGGAGGAAGGGAGAGACCTGGGAACTTGGAGATGAAAGGGGTGGGGAGGATCCCAGAGAAGCTGCCCCTGCAGCACCCGCCCCCTGCAGCAACTGTCATGACTCCACCCCTCCCTCTTCTGAGTTCTCTTCCCGGCCCCTCCAGATGGCTGCAGGTTCCAGGTGTGGCCAGACCACACTGAGAAACAGGAGGACGTTCTCATCGCCAGGCTCCCATGTTAACTCCCCGGGAGGACCACATCCACTGAGAGCTGGGTTCCGGAGAACAGAACTTGAATGAAGTAAAAGTCACATTCAACGTGTGCCTTTCATGTTCAAACAGAATTTAAATATCGTATTACAAAACGACAAGATTGTACAAAGCAACATTTAAAACATGAGAGCCGTGAAGGGAAGTCTCCGTCTTTCTGGTTCTCACAGGGCTGTTCACGGCCACAGCATTAACCACCACCCCCCCCGAGCCCCAACCTTCTCATCTCTCAAGGGGGCTCAGAGAGGGCAAGGGGCTTGCCCAAGGCTGCAGAGCTCTTCTAGCTTCATCTCCAGTACTGTCCCACTATACGCTGTAGGGCCACTTTCAAAGCAGTTTTTTGAGGGGTGGGGGGGTGTGTGCAGAACTAGCCTCTTGATAGAGGTGCTGCTTTTTTTCTTCTCCTCAGGGCTTGGAATCACGGACAAAAATCTATGGAGACCCACGTGGTGTCCTGCATGGTGCAGGAGCCGGCTGGCCTGAGGGCTGGGGAACGCAGGGAGTGAGGGCTCTGTGTTCGAGGTTCTGCAGGGAGGATGTGAGAGGCATTTCAGAGGAGAACACGCCTTGGAGAAAGACGGAGACCTTCCCCTTGAACAGCTGTGCTCCCACGCTGGGTACACAGGCACAGAGTCCGTGGGGGCAAGGACATGACATCCAGGGCTGCTCCTCAGAGTCCTAGGGCTTAGGTGGGACTCGGTTTAACGACCCACTCGCCATGCGGGTTGGCGCGGTACAGATCGAAGAGGTAGGCGTCTGGGTCCAGGCGATGCTCACCTGTGGGAAGCAGGGGTGAAGGAGATTGAGGTGGTGGCTGTGGAAGATGCTGCTGGCTGCCCGGAGCCCCTCACTGGCCAGGGGACCACTCCCCAAGCTGCGTAACCCTTGGCTGCTCTGGCTCACAGCTGCCCCACTCTCTGAAGAACTGACCTTCGCTGATGTCAGGTGCCTTGTCAGGGAAGTTATGCCCCCTCCAGGGCAGCCCACGGCCAGTGATTGACTCATGCAGAGGTAGGAAAGACCATTCTCCCTGCCTCTGAAGGAAACCATCCCAATGCAATTTGCGCTCCAGAGCCCCCTTGTGGCCAAACTAGGCTTCACCCCTTCCTCTCCTTCCCTCCCCTCCCTTGTAAGGCTTTGCCGGAGGAGCACTCCCTCAATGCATCAGGACTCCCTAAGCTTTGTTTAACCTCTGCTCCTTGGCCAGTGGCTCTCAAAGTGCGGTCCCTGCACCAGCAGCCTCAGCAGCACCTGGGAACTTGTTAGAAATGCAGATTCTCAGGGCCCAGGTGGCTTAATGGCCCGCGCGGGTGACTCCAATGCCACTGAAGTTTGAGAGTCGCTGCTCTGGAGAAGGCAGCTGACAACAGCTGCCCATCCTTGGTTCCCACAAAGCCATGGGACTCTCAGAGCTGGCACACGTCTGCAGAATTCCTTAAGGAATCGATGACCACTGGCCCTGGAGGAGGTCCACTTCAGCTTGGGCGGCCCAGAGACATCAGTGAAACAAGAAATTCTGCCCTCTCCATGCCCGCGGCCAGCTCCAGGCAAAACTCCAGACTCCAGGGTGGAATCCTAAGGCGTGGCCCAGGCTGAGCCTAACCTCACAGCAGGGTTCCGTCTGGTTTCAAGGGGGACAGAGGCCTGAGGGGATGGCTCTTCCTGAGGTGGACTCTAGCCTCCCCCAGAGAGGCCCAGTGAGCCGTCAAGGTCAAAGAGCTCCCAGGGTCCTGGGCTCCGACCCACTCCCCACCGGAAACTTACTGATATTCCCTCCAACTTCATACAGGAGGATGTTGGCTGACATCACGGACCTGCGGCTGCAAGACAGAGAGAAGAAAACTGCTGACCTCTTCTTCCGGTGGCAGCGAGACCAACAGCTGCTCATGGACCCCAGGCTTGGAAGGGGCGGCCCTCACTGATATTTGATCCCAGGTGGGAGATGGGCAGAAGGACCCTCCTGAGAGAGCCGGAGCCCAGGGACAGGGAAGATGCAGTTGGGCTGCACCTGGGGAGGGCCAGCCATGGGTCCCCCTGCCGCAAGACCCCTACCTACTGGACATCGAATGGAGGCTGCGAGGGTGGGGGGATAAGGAGTGATAGACGGGCACAGGAGCCTGCTGTGAGGGGCGAATTCTGAGTCAAGATGGACTGTGGATACTGCATAATTATGTATGAAAATTATAATTATCATACAGGTATCATATAATTATCATATGATAATTATGGATAGCCTGAGTTCAATTCCAGAATCTGTCCTCTATTTGCTGTGTGGCTCTGGGCAAGCCCCTTCCCCTCTCTGGGCCTTAGTTTTCCCATCTGTACATCTAGTCCAGGAACTGGACTAGATACTTGCTAAGGACCCATAGTCCAAGAGTCCTTCGTTCCAGGTCCATCAAGGAGGCTCCTGAGAGCTCAATCTGTTTCTTGCATCCTGGAATGACAGAAGCATATCGGCCCACTGATCCTCTTTCAGCTCTTTGGCCATGCTGCCTCAGCACCTTTACTTATGCAGTTTTCTGTGCCTGGAAGCCTTACTTCATTCCCCAATCTATACCAGGTGCCTTGTTTTACATTCACATTGTGCCCTGTATTTCTTATAAAATCTAACACAGTTTGTAACTTGGTATTTACTTTGTGGCTATTTGGCTCATGTCTATCTCTTCCACAGGGCTGTGAACTTGCAAGGCCAGGGCCCTTGTCGGTTCTTTTCATTATGATTCTAGCATTCCACATGATACCTGGTCTATAGTAGGTGTTTAGTAAATACCTGTGAGTGAATGAATGAATGATGACTATTATCATTATTATTTGGAGCAAAGAAGCTCTCTAAGAAGGTTGGAGAACCCAGTTCTGACCACCCCAGAAGGGGAAAGGCCAACAGCACGTGCAAATCCCCTCAAAGGCTTCAGCTCTCCCTGCACCTACTGCCTGCTCCCTGCAGGGGAGAGCTGCTTATCTCAGGGGGGCCCCTTACCGTGGGAGGAGGCTGTCTGTGTCCTCATTGCCCTCTTGACCCTGGGAACTGGCGCTGAGGTGCTCTGTGAACTGCCTGAGGACGTGGGCCACTCTGGTGCCCGGGGTCAGGGGCACCTCCAGGGGACCTTTGATAGGCCAGGCCACCTGGATCTTTGCTACTTTGGGAGTCTGCAGAGGAAGAGAAAGATCCATACAGAGGCACACACGTGCATGCCTGGAATTCAAATGTGTGTGCATAAACACACTTACACAAATACCCACGCTCAATATGCAAAATGCACACATACACACCAGCTGCTTGTGCACAGATCGTAGCATGACCACATACAGAACGTCCCCCAAAGTGTGCATACATAGACACAGGCATAGAAACATATGTGTGCACAGGCGTTCATACTCGTACACACAACAGGAGTGCATGCAATGCACTTAGAAACGCATGCATCTAGGTTTATATAAATACCCATCATGCACAATGCGATACTGGTCAATTTCTCTGTTCTGGACTTTCTTAAGAAACCCGGTTCAGGACTCTCCCCAGGATCATTCCATATTCTTGGAAGGCCTTTCCCTTCTCCTGCCCACCTGCACGCCCCAATCACTCCAGACAGCGACCCCTACTTCCCCAACCCTCAGTCAGGGACACGAGGGGCTGCTTTAAAACGGCGCAGGGGAGACAGCGTCTAGAAACCCCACACCACACCAGTTTCCCCCTTCCTCAGCCCGTCATCTCCCTCGTTTCCGAGACACCACCTCCTCGCTCGCTCGCTCGCTGTGATGGGGCTGGGGCGCCCCCTGGTGGCCGCAGTCGGCAGCGCCGTGCCTGGTGGCCTGGCAGGCAGTACCTGGAGGATGCGGATGCCTTGGGCCCCAGGCGCCCTCCGGCCGCCCCTGGTCCCTTCGTCCCTCCTTCTGCCGCGGGGGGAGGAGGGGCGCACTCACCGCCTCGAGGCCGTCAGCCATCTTGTCCTTGTCTGCGTGTATCCTTCGCAGCCAGGTTGTGAGGCCCCCATCGCAGAGCTGGGGGCGCCGGCCACTGCTGTCGTTCAGTTTTCGCACCTGGGCCACCAAGAAAGAGGCGACCTGTCCGGAAAGAATCAAGTCTTAGCTGGCCCCGGGGCTACTGGGTAAGAGGCAGAGCCCTCCAGGGTCGCTGTGGCCTCTTGCCTGTCCCAGCAGGGCTTGGCAATACATAGTGGCTGACATACTAGTTTGGTGTGAGGAGGGGGGCCATTTAACCCCTAAAGAGGGCCATGGAGTAGGGATCTCTGAGAATAGAGGCCACCCTTGGGCTAAGTGGACAGTGGTGTCCCCTCACAGAGGCTGGAGCGTCATGCACCTGCTGTGGGACAGCTGCTCATTGGCACACTCAGGCGGGGTGTCCCCAAGAGCACACCTAGAGTGGGCTAAGGCTCTGAGAAGCCCCAGCCAGCCCCAGAATGGCAAATTCCCAAAGACGCCGAGGTCAACCCATTCACCTCTGTGCAATCAGAACCCAGCAGGCAGAGTCAGGAGAATCCAGACTCCACGGACTCTGATATTAAGAGCATGTGCCCTGAGGTCTGACAGAATGGGGTCCATTCTGGGCTCCTCTAATTACTGGCCCTGTGATGCCTGAACGAGACGATCCACACAGTGGAAGGTGAGGGGGAACTCTTCCATTTTACTTTATCTACATTTATGTTGCCTGAAAATTTAAAAGAAGGCACTTGGGCATTTCTTGAATTTTTGAGACTCCCTACAAGAAAAAGTATTAGAATCTAATTTATTTTAGTAGTCCCATTACCTCAGAGAGCTGACAGAGCACAGAGAAGCAAGGAACTATGGGAGTGTAGGCGTGTACCTGTGTAGGGGAGGGAGGGCTGTCAGCAGAGGACGTGACTCTTGAACTAAGTCTTGAAGAATGAGCAGAGGGTACCAGGCTTCTGCCCTTTCTAAAAATGGAAGGGAATTGCAGGCAGAGTGAACTGCATTAGGAAAAATCCAGAGCTGTGAAGTACAGGGTGAGTTTGGAGAACCAACTGGCATTTGGTGTGTTTAGAACACAAAGGAGTGCCTGGGTGTGATGGGGGAGAAACTGCGTACAGTCAGAGAGCTTCACTTGCTGGTTTCTGGAATTAAAAAATTGATCCTGATGACTTTATGGATGGAGGAAGGGATAGGAGGAAGGAAGAGTGAGGGAGGGTGAGGGAATGGATGGATGAGTGGAGGAGTGGATGGATGGGTAGGTTGAGGGATGTATGGATTGGTTGGTGGGTGGGTGGGTGGATGGGTAGGTGGAGGGATGTATGGATTGGTGTGTGGGTGGATGGGTGGATGGATGGATGGGTAGGTGGAGGGATGTATGGATTGGTGAGTGGGTGGATGGGTGGATGGATGGATGGGTAGGTGGAGGGACGTATGGATTTGTGGGTGGATGGATGGGTGGATGGACGGATGGGTAGGTGGAGGGACGCATGGATTGGTGGGTGGATGGATGGGTGGGTGGATGGATGGGTGACTAAGTGGAAGGATGAATAGAGAAACGGATGGCAGAGGCTGCATCTCTCTCAGTACAGTGGCCTGCTCAGCAGTGGTGGGCCCTGCTACCTTGTGTTCGTGGGAGTCTAGAGGGCTGGCCGGGTCTTCTCAGCGCTCCTCCTCCAACCTCAACTTTCAGCAGGCCTTGCATGCCCACAGCACCAAGGGGTCTCTCTCCCCACTCTTGCCCCTCGCCCTTGCTCTGGATTCTCACTCAGGGCAAGGCTCTCGGGGGCGGAGACTGTCTTGATTATCTGGCTCTGGGCTCTGTCTTAGGCAGGCCCTGTGCTCTGAGCCTCACGGGCAGGGCTTTTTCAGCATCACTAAAGCTTTGATGTGAAGGAACTCTTTGTGGGAGCTCAGGGAACACCCATAATGTGGGGCAGACCAGATGGCAGTGGACTGACTGAGAGGTGTGGGAGTAGAGACAGAAAGTGAGGACACCTCTTGGACGCTAAGCCAGGGGGAGGAAGAAGACCCTGGCCATACACAGGATCCCACAAAGGTGCCACAAGAGACACAACCAGGGATTCAAAAGGACAGTACCCACAATCCTGGATGGCAGGGACATCAGGGCAGCTGTACCCAGAGGAGGGCGGCGGCCTGTCCCCGCTACCCGGATGGACAGCCCCTCCCCTCCACTCCTAGCTGGGCAGCAGCACTCACCGTCCAGAGCAGATCCTGGTAGTGCACCATCATCCGCACCACCTCAGCTGCCCCCTCTGCCAGCTGCTTCTCCTTGCTCTTGGCGAGTTTGGGGGGCCGCCCTCGGTGGAGGAAGAGATTGGGGGCCATCACTGTGGAAACGTTCCACAGCGTCATCTTGTTGCTCTGCTCCCGGGCCACCACCTTTCTGAGGAATTCCAGGAGAGCCTGGGGAAGGGCACAGCACTGCCCTCAAATCTCAGCACATCCCTGGTGCTCCCCACCTTTCCCAGAGCATCCTGCTGTGCAGCCTGCGGGTACTGGAAGAAGCCAGGGACTGGAATAGCAGTTTTCCATCAGTCCACCCCATGACCTCGCTGTGTCTCAGGTTCCTGCTCTGTGAAATGTGGCCAAAACCTTTTCCCTTCCCTACCCTCTCAGAGGTTAATGAGGCATCCAGTTCAGACTTCAATTTCCAGGCCCAAAAGAGCCACAGCTCTGGGAAATGAGTCTTTTCCTGGTGAGCCCCAGGTCAGCTCCTTCTTTCTGGAGTCTAGATCTGCCCAAAATGCAAAGGAAAGACTAGGGAAGCAGAGACAATGGGAAGAAAGGAGGCAGATGATTTTACCGACCTACCATTTGTTAAGTATTCTTTGTGCTCCTGGCCCTGTCGTTAGCACATGTATTTAATCCTCACAGTAACTCTATAAAATAGGTTCTACCATTGTACCCATCATGCAGAGAAGGAAACTGTGGCTTGGAGAATGTGCCCAAGGCCACACAGCCAGTAAGGATGAAGGAAGGGAGGGAGGGGATGGAAGGATGGAAAGATGAATGGATAGATGGAAGGAAGGAAGGAAGGGAGGGAGGAAGGAAGGTAGGCATCTATTGAGCACCTGCAAAGTACCACATCTTCTACTCTATGATTCGTCATGTGTTAGCTCTTGAAATTCCCAAAACAATCACACAAGATGCTATTATAATCCTCAGTTCACTGAAAAGGAAACAGAAACTCAGAGAGGCTGTCTCTTTAACCAAAGCTGAGGCACAAGGAGTGGAGGTCCCTGGAGCCCAGCTCCACCTGATTACAAAGACTTCTTGGGGCCTCCTACGCCCACACCAGATGAGGACTCCAGGAGACCTGGGGCCTCCTCACAGCTTCACCCTAGAGATGCATCTTGGGTTTGACCCAAGGACAGCCAGGAGGGCGCTGGGAGCGCAGTGAGGGCTGTGCCCCAGCTCCAGCCCCCAGCCCTGAGCACCCACCCCTGTAGCACACAGTGGGAGTTCCCTGAGGGAGTGTTTCCCAAACTGGTGCCCCACAGAACACCAGTGCCATGTGAGGATTTCCACAAAAGAGGGAAAGTGCTACCTACTCTAGCCCCACTCAGAGAGCCCTCTTCCCTGTGCCTCCTGTTGGCACCACACAGAAGTGATGCTCGGCAGTGCCCACTCCACTGAGCACTTGTGCCTTTCAAGATTCATCTGCTTTCTTTAGGGAAAAAGTCTCAGAAAGGCCGTGGCCGTCACTGTTGGTCATCCCTGCACCCCAGCACCTGGCAGAGTTGTTGAATGAATGCATGATCACATTTGGAGCCCTTACTGTGGCTGTGGGCTGAGATGATAGAACAGAGGCAGCTCATAGTAATTCTTACCTTCAGAGCGTTTCTGTTGGGTTCCGGAAGGATCAGGATGAGCAGGTGAAGGGCCTGCAGGCGCTGTTTCAGGTCGGGGATGTCTGAGGGAAGAAGGGGGGCCTGGGTCTCTGCTCTCCCAGGGGAGGCTCAGGCTCTCTCCTTCCCAGGCCCCTTCTCAGGGAGGGAAGATTCCAGAGCTGGGAAATCCCCAGGCACAGCCAGGAAAACCTTCTTTGGAAGGCCTGGAACTGTTTCCTGGGCTAGTGTCAGAGCCAGACAGAGCCCCAACTAGTGCTGGTCGTGAGGTCACTCTCGATGCTGTGTGAATGAAAGGAACACACACACACGTGCATGCATACATGGCCACACACATGTGTGCACATACAGGCCCAGATGTGCAGTCTGAGAGCTGTAGCTCAGGGTCAGAGATGCAGTGGGCCAGCAGTCACCCTCAGGAGGGGAGGTGGATAGCCTACTGTCCTGGAGAGGTTTCAGGAAACCCCATGCATTCTGAGGCTTGAAGAGGAAAAGCTCTCCCGCACTGGGGCCAGGGAGAAGAGGAGGTGGGAGGTAGAGAATTCAGAGAAAGAGTTCACCAGAACCAGGCCAGACCAGCAGCTGAGAGCTCACTGGAGCCTGGAGACGAGCTGCGGAGGGGACACAGAGGCTGAGCGGCCCAGGCTTCGCCCCCAGGATCCCCTGTGGCATTCATTCATTCACGCACTTGACAAATATCGTCAAGTGCCTATCAGGTGCCATGCTCCAGTGCAGGGACCTCGGACACAGCAGTGAAGGAGCCAAACAGGTCCCAGACTTGTGGAGCTTATGTTTCAGGGGAGAAGACAGACCATAAACAAGCAAAGGAATAGCTGAGTATCCTTAGCCACTGCCTCACCCTGAGAAGAAACTGAAGCAGAGTCCTCTGACAGGCGGCATCTGGGTCTGCCAGGCGACCTGGCTGCCAGGTCAGGGAGGGCCTCCTGGAGGTGCTGGCATTGAGCCGACATCTGAATGGCAAGAAGCAGCCAGCCAAATGAGGGGGACAGAGGATTTCCAGGTAAAGAGAGCAGCAGGCGCAGAGGCCCCGAGGAAGGAAGAAAATGGGCCTGTTAAAGCCGATGGTGGGGACGGAGGGGGACTGGAGAAGGATCAGAGACAGGAGGGCCTGAGCACGGAGGAGCGCCCTGTGGGCCCAGGTCGGTGGGGAGTGAGGGTTTATTCCAGAGGGGTTCCAGGGGGTGTGGAGCCATAGAGTGACATGATTTGATCTGATCTATTCGAGAAGCAAAGGCTGGAGAGGATTTCTCAGAGGGCCCGCCCTGGCTTGGAGGTGGAAATCAGGCTGCCAGGAGCCCTGCAGCCTTTTAGAGAAATCAGAGTGTCAGGAAGAGAGCGCGCCGCACACCTGGGCTCCCCTCCAGGTCACCAGCAGGCTCTCAGGTGGGTCGTTTTATTCTTTTGAGAAAAATAAAAGTGATGGTGTTTGCGCTCTGTGGATGGTGAAGAAGTCCAGGCAGGAACATGTATTTGCAGAATATAGAGAGGGATCTGTGCAGTGCAAGCCGATCTACAGATGTGCACACAGACAGAGGACAAGGAGACACACGTGTGCCCACAGATACACAATTAGATGAGCCTGATAAGCTAACCCCTTGGACATCATGACGGGGAAGATACTGTCCATGCGAGGACGTAAGGACTGTGGTGTGCAAAACCTTACCCTCCTCTTATCCCCCATCACGCTACACACACACACACTCATGCCCATACACAAACAACACATACATGCACGCACACCCGACACACATGCACACACACATGCTTCTTCCTCCATCAGCTCGAGATCACAGGGAACAGGTAGTCCTGCCTTCCCACCACTTCCCCTCTCCAACCAAGGTCAGTGGCATCGAAGGCTCTTCTCCGCCCATGCAGAGGGCTGGGGCACACTCACTGGGCACCACAGCGAAGGCCGGGAGGTACTCAGCAGTGAGCAGAGGCGCCGGCAGCTCCCGGATGAACCTTTTGAGCAAATCGGACGCGTCGTTGTGGTGAACCTCGTCCCAGCTAAAAACGCCAGTGTAGAAATCCCTCTCCAGCTTTCTTTCCAGCCCCTGGAGGAAGGAGGGACACTCATGAGAAGCTGGCCCAAGGCTCCAGTAAAAGCTCCTCCACCACTTCTCTGGGCCTCAGTTTCCTCATCTGCAAAGTGGGGACAATTCCTAGCAGCCACCTCCTAGGGTTGATATGAGGATTAAACGGCCAATGCGTGTGAGTCACTTAGCACAGGGTTCTGCTCAATACATGCTGGCAGTCTGACCCCAGGGCCCACACTCTTAAACCCCATGCTGTGTCCTGCCACCTCTGCCCTTTCAAACCCTCCTGGAATCCCACCGCTCAAGTAGAGACCAAAGACAGAACACAGGCAGCTAGGAACTGGATTCTCTCCCGGCTTAATGAGAAGGTGAGGGTGCTGGGCGATGCAGCCTCGATGAAGGCAGGGGGCCAAACCATTACCTTGACCCTGGCCTGGGACCCAGGCACCCTGAGAATGCCTTCCGTGTCCAGCCCTCTCTTCTCCAAACAGGACAGCAGCTACGACAGAAAGAAACCAACGTTTAAACCAGCAACTATTGAAAAGTGGGATTCCAACTGGTGTGTTCGTCCCCTTGAAAACCGGGAAGAGGAGAGAGCTCAGAGAAGGGTCTCCCTCCAAATAAGAACAATAGTTTTCTTGGCCACTTCCATGAGCCAGGAGTTGCTCTGAGAGCTTTATATGCGTGTTTCTCATTTAATCTGTAATAACAGGCTACTGTTGTTATAACCCCACTTCACAGACCCTTAGCTCGCAAGTGTTTGAGGCTGAATTTGAAGCCAGGTCTCCCAATGCTAAAGTCACGCTCTTATCCCCCAGGCGAGACATCTCCCAACAGTGGCACGCAGGGCCAGCCTCTCAAGGGCTAAATGAGCCCAATCTGGGGGCAACTTACGGCTTGAAGGACCAGCGGGACCTGGGTGCTGGGGAGGGCTTTGCGGTCAGCTTCGAGCAGGGCATCGAGGGGCACGCCGAAAAGGCGAGTTTCTGCGGGAAGTCAAGAGAGCAGAAGGGGCCTTTCACTTCCTGGAATGACAGCTGGGCTCCAACCTGAATGATCTGGGTGCCTAGACTTGGACTCCTTTCCCTGCGTAAGGACTGAGCTCTCTGGAGAATGGCTGAGCTCAAACCCGCCCACAGTTCTCGCACAGAACACTCGGCCTCAGCAATAAGGAACACGGTAGGTGCGTCACAGAGCAGAGTCCCCGCGGGATGAAGGCGTTGAAAGGACAGCAAGCTGCTGCCCCAGGGAGCGCTGGGTACAAGATGTCACAATGATCTTGGGTAGGCGTCTAGCTCTGCAGGGATGGGCCACATTCCCAAGAAATGTTTCCCAGGTCTTCTCACCCACCCCGCCCTGTAGTCTTCTCGGGCCAACTCCTCCTTCTGAATCTACTCTGCAATTTCCTCCTTCTCCCATCACCCGCCTGCCCCTTTGCCTGCTAAACCCCCACCCCTGGTCTGTCTTATCCAGCATCCTCTTGTCTTTAAAGAAACAAACAAAGAAATCACAACGTGTAATGTTGACAGCGATGCAGTGAGATGAACGGGCTCACACGCTATTGAAGGGTGACATATACCAAGAATTTGACCATATTCTAAAATGATCGAAGATGCATTCGAAGCTGCGTGTACAGCAATAGTGATAGTGCTTTATAACAGGAAAAACACAGAAATAATAAATGTCCACAGATGGCTATATCCATAAGGAGAAAAATAGTGCCCTCATTAGAAATTATGTTTTCAAAGAATGTTAGAGTTCTGGTAAATGATATATTGTTGTAAGTTCATTACCCCTCCAGAATCCACACCCTTGGCCATGTGAATTTGCTATTCCTCCTATTAAAGAAGCAGAAAATACTTCCCCACTTCTTGCTAGATAGCTTTGGCCAATGGAACGCTGGCCTCCGTGATGCAAGCAGAGGCTTAAAAGGCATTGTGTGGCCCATTTGTCCTCTTGTGCTTCCGCCATGGCCATGAGAACAGGCTCTGGCTTGCCTGCTGGTCCCAGGAGGACGAGAGACAAGAGAAGCAGACCCAGCCCCAGCCCACAGCTTGGAGCCAAGACCAGCCCAGAGCAGCCAACCAACGCCGAGTCCGCCCCTAAACATGCCAGCAAGAGTTTTAAGTCATGAGTTTTGGGGGTGCTTGTTACGTAGCATTATTGTGGCAATAACTGAATGGCACAACTGGGAAGTGTCCATTAGTCTATAATATTAAGCGCAAAAAGGATATAAACACATGGGGGAAAAAAGGAACAAGATAACACTAAAAGTTAATAGCACTTACATCTGAATTGTACTTTTCCTTTTTGTATTTTACTGTTTCCCAAATTTCCTACAATGAGCAGGAATTGTTTTCATTCATATATTTTCAGAAAATACCTATAACGGAAAGAACTATGGCAGCCAAGCACGTTTGGGTGGAAGATGCCCCACGCAGCTCCTGGATGAGGAAGCCGGGGCTTGAGCCACTGGGTCTGAGATGCTGGGACTGCTGACCTGTGGCCTTGCGCTTGGCTGCCTTGCTCCTCTTCAGGTCCAAGCCCAGGATGTCACAGAGCGCTGTCAGCTCGATGAGGGCCAACGAAGGGATCTTCCCCATGTCCTGCAAGGACAAGTCTCCTATCCTTGTCAAGCCGAGTCTGCCTTTGGGGATCCTAAACTTCTAGGGAGGGAAGTAGACACGATCGCTCAGGTCAGTGAGGGGTCTGTGTGTCGAGGCTCCACCATCCCCTCCCCCAGCGCCCCTGGCGGTCAGCAGGAGGAAGAGCCGAGTGGAGGAGAGCAGGGGCTCAGGATTCCATCGTAGTTCAAGTCCAAGCTGTCCCTGTGACTGGATCACAGGCTGAGCATCGAATTCCCCATCTCTAATCATAAAATAGTGCCTACCTCAGAGTTTTTGTGCGGGTAAAACGGGCTAATAAGTATAAAGCGCTTAAGGGTGCCAGGCACATAGCGGAGCCCCAGTCAATGAAGTTGTTTTTACTACCTGTATTCCAACCTGAGGAGCTGGAGGAGAGGGGATCACCCCACTGGCCTTTTATCACTGCTTCTATTCTGCTCTTTTGTTGCTCTCCCTCACCCCATCTGTCCCTATCCTTGGCGGTGCCACCACGGCTCAAATGCTCCTCTTTCTCACTCTGAATAATAGAGTATTGATTGAAAAATAAAGGGTGCTCGAGCGCTCCATCTAGAGGCCACAGTGGGGATCTGCAGGCAGCCCCGCGCCTTCCTGCCGGCATCGGGTGAAAAACAGCAAGAGGTGGGGACGGGTCTGTTTACGTTGCCGGGGGAACTTGACCAGATTATTCCCCAGTGTCCCCTTCCAGTGCCCTAAGGGGGGAAAGGAAGCATACTGTGGTTGTAGGTAATAATATTCTGGCTATAATACAGCCTAGTGCTCACTATACGGCTTATGGAGTCACACTCTGGGATCAAATTCCAACTTTTACCTGTGAGTTTGGGCAAATAATTTACCTTTCTGTGTGTCAATTTTCTCATCTGTAAAATGGGGCTAATAACAGTATCTACTTCAGAGGGTTGTAGGGGAGATTAAACTACATAAAGCATATAAAACACAATGCCTGACACATAGTGAGTACTCAATTATAACTATTACTATTTTTTGTTTATTTACACCCACAATTACTGTCAACATAATAGAATGAAATTAAATCATGTATGTAAAATTCTTGGTATAATGCCTGGGCCATGGTAAAAGGTCAATATGTGGTGCCCTTGGATTATTAATTATTATCATCATTCATAGTTTAGTGGGGGAAGCCATCTCATCAAAGCTAGAAGATAATATTGAGCATTAATTATCTCTGATGCTTTACAAATAGAAAGTCATTATTTAAGAATTTTGTGTGATGTCCTATGGTTGCCTAAGAGATCACTGGGAGAAAGTAGGTACAGAGTACTTGGGAACTCTGTACTATTTTTGCAACTTCTTGCGAGTCTAAAATTATTTCAAAATAAAAAGAAAAATTCTATTTGAATGGATGAAATACTTTCACATTGCGGTAGGGGTTACTGCGGGGTTGGGGGCAAATTTCCTAAGCAGTAGGGGGTAACGGTCATTCAAAGCTCTGGGGGCCCCAGCATCAGCCGGCTCTGTCACTTCTCTATGAGCTTCACTTCTCTGTTTTCCATTGGTAAAGTGGGGGTGCCATGACAGCACCCACGTCCTAGGGCGTGGTAAGGAAACAAGCCAGTGTGAGCAAAGCCTCTAGAACAGTGCCTGGGGCCAGGGAAGCCCTCAGTGAAATGTCACCTAGGATTACCCAAACACATCAAATGTGGTCATTGAAGAACCTCTTTCCTTAGGAGCAGTGGGACCTGGGAAAAACTAAGCCTGATGAGAGGGGTCAGAATAGTGGTTACCCTGTGGGAGGGGGCTTAACTGGGAGAGGGTATGGGGGGCCTTTGGGGGGGTAGAAGTGGGCTATGCCTTGATCTGGTGGGAGTCACACAAGTACACACATCCAGCTGTGCATGGCAAGTATCTGTGCACTTTACTGTGAGTTTTACCTCAATCTTAAAAAACTGAATATAAATGATTATATCCTAATTTGGAAGGAACTGTGCTGAAACAATTTGGAAAAGAAAAAAACTGAGATGTTGGGTCTGTCTCACACCAGACACCAAAGTTAATTTTAAAAATAAGTAGAAAAATATAGATAGGTAGATAGTTGTCAATTTGTTGGATGAGGGAAGACCTTCTAAGGCTAAAAGCAAAAAAGAAAGGCATAAATGAAAATCTTGATACTGTTACTAGACTCTAGCTCCCGCCCCCAGTCCTTGACACGGGCAGTCACTCAGTAAATATTGGTGGCATGAATTAAATGAGCGAATGATTCAACAACTGTCGTGCTGGGTGCCGGGCAGCATGGAAGGGGTGGGGGGTGGGGGCAGTATGCGCTGGTGCCTAAGGATGGGGCCTGGCCACCAGCCCTCTGGGCAGCGTCCTCACCGGCAGGGACCCTTTGCTCCAGGCACAGGGGCCTCCCGGGGACGGCCCACCCCTCTGCAGGAGCAACGCAGCTTGTTCCGAGTAGGCAGAGTCCATGTGGAAGGCTTCCTCCCTCCCAGCCTGCGCCTGTGGCCCCTCGGGCTCTGCTGCCACTGGAGAAACAGAACAGAGCGGCAGTCAGGTCCGGCTGCCTCCCTACCTGCTCCAGGCCCAGAGCCCCAGGAAGCCATTTCCCAGGCTTGTGTCCTGGCTCAGGCCCCGGGAAACTCAGTAGCAATTGCCTAAGATTAGGGGGCTGAGATCATGTCCCCAGGAAGCAAGTTCTTAGGCTGAGGACTCAGGCCCTTTGTCCCAAGAAGTGATTTCCCAGGCTCGAGCTCAAACCCCAGGATCAAGTCAATAAGCTTCGGGCTCAGGCCCACTGCCCCGGGGAAGAAATTTTCCAGCCAAGGCCCATTGCTCCAGGAAGTAATTTTCCAGCTAAGGCCCATTGCCCCAGGAAGTAGTTTCCTTGCTAAAGTTCATTGCCCAGAATGTGATTTTCCAGGCTGAGGCCTGATGGGCCTGATGGGAGAACCCCATTCAAGGGCCCAAGTTGTCCCCTTGGGGCTCCTTCCTACAGACCCCAAGCAGAGAAGGCAAGGAACCAACAAGAAGGGGAAAATGCTCAGAGGTATGTGCCTTCTCTTACTTCACAGAGCAGCCCTTTTGTGCAGCCTGGAGGATTCCCAGGGCCCTGGAGAATGAAGGCCGCTTACCTGGACATGTAGAAGTCCCAGAACTGAGTTGAGTCCATTTCATACCTGAGTCTCCATTCTCTGAAGTCATTTCCTATGCAAGTTGCAAATTACAGACAATTCCCCATGAGTTGTGTGGGAAGCAGATGATGCTCACACAACACTGGGAAATAGGAGCCATTCATGACCCCTTCTTCACAGAGCAGCTGAAGCTCAGAAGGTCTTGCCCAAGATCCCATGGCTGCTAAGTGAGGGAGCAGGCACTGGGACCCAGGTCTGTCTGGCTTCAATGCCTGTTGTATTAATCACATGTTATGCCACTTCAAATCTATTCTGAGAAAGAAGATGCCCATGATCTGTCAGGTTACAGGTGCCAGCAGGATATACAAATGACAATAAAAGGTATTATAATTGTACTGATAATAGTTATAGGGAGAGAGAACCTAAGCTTTCAGGCCCACCCAAGGACACACAATGGCAACAGGCAAATACACACCTGCAACATGGGGCCACAGTGGCATGCAAGCAGGTATGCCAGCACACGTCAACACAGCCCTGCAGCAGAATCACTGCGTCCCCTAGGACGTGGTGGCATCACAGAGGCCCCAGGCAGACAGAGCCTGCACTGACTCTTACGCCACTTACTTACTCCTGAATTGAAAACCCCAAAGACGTCCCTGACGTCTCTGACAGGTGCCTTGTGTCGTCTTCGGGTTGAGCGGACATAGCTATCCAGCCGGCGACACACAGCGGCCACCTGGGTCTGTGTGAGGCTGGACAGGAGCCCCTGGTGATGACTGTCCAAGTCCAGGCCACCAAGGAGGCCCGACAGGCCTGTGTCCTGCAGCCACTGGGATTCAGTGTCTCCTTCTGCCAACAGAGGGAGAACAGCCAGATGAATATACACACTCAGTCACACGCACTAACCAAAGCCACATGTAGAAACACACACTCATATAGACGCAAGGAGCAGCCACGTATCTGATCATGAGACCCACTGACACCAGCCAAACTCTTCAACGGGGAGAAAATCTAACAAGACATCTGAGAATTTGGGGGGTACCGATGGCGTCAATCAGTTGGATTTAAACCTGTGCACCCTGGGAAACAGAGCAGGCTGAGGAAGGGCACCTGTGTGTTCTGATCCTGGAATGTAGCAATGAACTCTCATCCCCTCCCAAATCTAGCAGAAGCCGCCCCAGGGTCACGTGGGCCCAGCCGTGCAGAGCGTGGGCAAGCAGTTGGTGTCCCCTTGGAAAGTCCCTCTCTATGCAAGACCTTATTTAGGTTGGAACAGTCCCCTCAACTGGGCTTCATAAGGAACTGCTGTGGTCCTACAGTAAAACCCTTCATCCAAATCGTGGGGCCCGCTGAGACCGCAGGGTCCTGGGTCCCGCCTCCAGAGATCCCGTCCCAGGAGTTCAGGCCCAGGGCCTGGAAATCTGCACTTGGATTGTCCTCCCCAGATTATTCTAATGCAATGGGGTCTTCAGATCACACCTGAGAACTGGCCTGGCGAATTCTTTCCTTATTGTGGGGGAAACAGGTGCAAGTTCGGGAAGGAAGGGGTATACACGTGTGAGCAGATTGGGGGCGTGTATTCAGTTGTGACCAAGTTAGTCAACCAGGCGCTGGTGGTTCAAAATACCTATCCTGCTTTTCGGGCAGCCTGGGTTGTGCGGATAAGCCAGACACAGAAGTCTTTCCCCCAGATCTCCCTTCACTTGGGAATCAAACAAATGCTTCCGGGGCGGCCACAACTTTGTGCGTCCTCCCCGAACATGTGTCAGCTGGTGGAGGCGCTGAGCCTATTGTGAAGCCAGGACTTCCTTCTCTCCTGCTCACCACGGGGTCAGTCGTGCAGGATCTTATCAATAAACCAGTGTTTCCCGAAAGGCAGGCATTCGCCAACCACTGTATAATTTTTATCTGTACCTAAGAAGTCCTGGAAAATTATTTACTAAGTGTTTTTCCCTAATCATGGGTCACATTTTTACTCAATCTATTTTAAAAGGAAACACTAACCCAAGCATAAATGGATCATCCACCATCACCTGCCATAAGTAGAAGTTAATGGGAAAACAATGAATATATTAACATTCCTGGCTCCATGCCACCCAGAAGCTCCCACTGCCCCGTGAGTCTAAAAAAGCCCGTTTCAATTAGTTGTCCAAAAAAAGTTCTCCTGGGGCCAGCCCGGTGGCGCAGCAGTTAAGTGTGCACGTTCCGCTTCAGTGGCCAGGGGTTCACTGGTTCGGATCCCAGGTGCAGACATGGCACCGCTTGGCATGCCACGCTGTGGCAGGTGTCCCACATATAAAGTAGAGGAAGATGGGCATGGATGTTAGCCCAGGGCCAGTCTTCCTCAGCAAAAAGAGGAGGATTGGCAGTAGTTAGCGCAGGGCTAATCTTCCTCAAAAAAAAAAAAAGTTCTCCTTTTGCCACCCTGACCCCAAGCCCTCTGTTTTCTTTGACATTAGATTGCTGGTCATATCACGATGCCTGGCAGTTGGCCTGTGGTGGAGGGCATCTCTTAGAATCCGCTCTTGTACCACCAGGGATTTGCCATCCACACTTGGAGACACTGCAGGAGACCATCAGGCCCTGGGGAAGTCTGGATCCCTTATCACCCTTATCACCATTTGTGTTTTGTGAACCATGGCCTGGCACAGCTGAATTCTATGCCCCACACCAAGGAGGTTTCCGCGTGGATGCCCTTTTCATTCCCTCATTCATTGAACAAGGAGGATGGAGCATGAGAACGTGCTCAGTCTGTTCCAGGCGTGGAGGATGCAGCAGTGAAAAGGATAGACAGCGTCCCTGGCCTCCTGGGGCCTACGTTCCAGTGAGGGACACAGATGAAGGGATGCCTGTGTCATGGCAGGTGATGATAAATAAAGCCGGGCAGGGTCTGGAGAGTGAGGGGCAGGGGTGCTGTTTACACAGGGAAGTTGGGGACTGTTTTCTGAGGAAGTGACATTTGAGCCCAGTCCTGATTGGAGAGAACAAGCCACACAGGTCCTGGGGGAAGAGGTGCGAGGCCAAGGGAGCAGCGAGGACAAGGTCCTTGGGCAGGAGTGTGGGGGAGGCCAAGTGGCGAGGGGCAGAAGCAGAGAGAGGCAGACAGGGCGGACGAGATGGTGCAGCTGGGGCACAGGGGTGATTGTGTAAAGCCTTTTAAGCGATGCTGTGGTGGGGCTCTGTGTCCCCGAATCCCTCTACTCTCACCCCGCTAAGAGGTGGGGTCTAATTCCCTTCCTCTTGGAAATCAGCTGGAACCAGGCAAAGAGGATGCAACAGAAGAGATGCTGCCCCGCCTCCGAAGTCAGTCATAACGGTGAGACAGCTACCGCCTGGTGCTTGCTCTCTCTGTCTCTCTCTGTGTGTCTCTCTCCCTCTCTTTCTCTTTGGATTCTTATTATTAGAACCCAGTCGCCATGCCACGAGAAAGCCCAGGTCACACGCAGAACCCAAGAGTGGGTATTCCAGGTGACAGTCCCAGGTAAGGCCCAGATGACGGGCACATCCACGGCCAGACACGAGTGAGAAATCCTTTGAGGTGACTGCAGCCCCAGCCACTATCTGACCGTAACTGCACATGAGTCCCTGAGCAAGAACTGCCTAGCTCGACCCTTCAACTCCTGGAACAGTGAGATCTAACAGTTACGATAATGATGATGATCGTTGCTTTACCCCGTTAAGTTAGGGGTAGGTTGTTACGCAGTAATAGATAAGGAGACACGTGGTTGTCTATTATTCTGAGAGAGAGGGGGAGATATTTGGGAATTGTGAGCAAAGGACGTAGAATTCCACTCAACTGTTACCTCCACAGGGGACTTTGTTTTGTGTCCACTGTTGTGTGCCCAGTGCCTAAAACAGTGCCTGGAAAATAACAAGCCCTCATAAACATTTGCTGAATGGATTCATCTAAGAAGGGACACCATCTAATTTACAAGATTAAAAGATCATTTTGACTATTGTGTGGAGAGCAGACAGCAGGGAGCAAGGGTGGAGCAGGGAGCCCAGTGAAGAGGATACAACAGTCCAGACAGAGACAAGCCCTTTCATGTTCTGGTTCATGTCTGGACCTCTGGCATGTCCTCCCCTGCATAAGACCCTCCCTTCCGCCCCGCAGGCCCCAGCCGGGGCTCCTCACCCTCTGGGAGCCGGCCTTCGCTCCCACTGCTGTTCTCTTCTTTCAGCTCATCCCTCTGTTGGATCCACTCCACCTCCGTCCAAAAGCCATCCATGGACGAGCTCTCCGCTGGGGACAGCCGGGAGTGGGAGCCCTCCGCCGGGCATGCTGCTTGCACGAGGTTCTTCTGGGGAAGCTGATTAACTGGGCCTGGGGAGGGGCCAGAGCTGCGGCAAGTGGGTAAGGAGGAGAGGAGTCAGGCAAGGCTCTGCCCGTGGTGGGGTCTGTCCTGAGGCTTTGTGGTTCTCCAGAAATCTGCCTGGGGCCCCTGGGAGCCGGGCGAGCTTCCCAAGCACGTTTCTCAGGGTGACAGACACACGGCTAGTCTCAGTAAATGGACCAGTTTACCCATCGCCCCACCAGAATCACTCAGAAACAAATGACGCTGCAGAGGATTGAGAAAGGGCCAGGAGACTCTGCTTCTTTCCACCTTCTTGGGCAAGGTGAACAATCTTTGACACACATGGTAGAGGAAATATTAATAAGAGGGAAGTAAACATCAGGACAGGTGAGGAAACCACAGGGCAGCCCCTGCCTCATCTCACTGGATTTTTACCCAAAATGTCTATTATCTTCTGCCTACCCACACCCCTTTATTTGTGACTCTGACTTTCACTGCTCAGTTTTCCTATTTATAACATGTGACCACCTTGTCCCTTCCCCTCCTCCAGCCAGATCTGAACAGACCGAAGTACCAGACCACAGAGGTGCTATCATCAAACGAGCCAATCAGATTGTCTCGAGGTGTTGAACCAAGAGATTGAGGGGTTCAGTGTCAGGCACACCAACTGGGAGGCCGTGTAGAAATGGTGGGGCTGGAGCAGCCATTCTTCCGAGAGAAGCAGGCGGGACCCTCTGCAGCCATGGAGAAATGGGGGACCTCAGTTTGCTTTTCCAGGTCCCAGTTCCAGCCTCTCCTGGCCCAACCAGCAGCTGTGTGATTTCTCTTAGGTCCCGGATTCCCTGCATTTTTCCTTTAATCCCCCTCTTCTGCATAAACTTCTACACATATTATTTGATTCCACTTCATGCAAACAATCCCAGAATAGGACAGTACAAATCTCTTGGCCCAGATTAATGATATTCTGGGGCTCCAGATGAGCTTGGGGATAAAATTTCTATGCTGCCACCCAGAATCCTTGAGAAATGGTGGACTCGGGACTGGAATCCACATAGACCTCTGAGACCTATCAGCAAAACCGATCATAAACCGCCCTGCCACTAGAGAGAGGAAATACATCCCCAATGTCCTCAAAGGACGAAAAAGTATATTCTGTAAATTCTACAGATATTTGAGCTCAATAATGATCTCAGGCAAGATTATAGAACAAATTTCTTTATTCCACCTGCAAACAGACAAAAGGCACAGAATACAATAAACATAGATGGTCTGAATAGCCCTATTAAAAAAAATGGACTCGGGGCCGGCTCCGTGGCCGAGTGGTTAAGTTCGCGCGCTCCGCTGCGGCGGCCCAGGGTTCAGATGCTGGGCGCAGACATGGCATCGCTTGTCAGGCCACATTGAGGCGGCGTCCCACATCCCACAACTGGAAGGACATGCAACTAAGATATACAGCTGTGTACAGGGGGGTTGGGGGAGATAAAGTAGAAAAAAAAAAAAAAAGGAAGATTGGCAACAGTTGTTAGCCCAGGTGCCAATCTTTAAAAAAAAAAAAAGGACTCAATTTGGGTAAAAAAGAAAGTCATCCATTGTCGCTTTTAAAAAGCACATATGCGCTAATCATCAGGGAAATGTGAATCAAAACCACAATGAGATAGGGCCGGCCCTGTGGCATAGTGGTTAGGTTCAGCAGGCTCTGCTTCGGTGGCCTGAGGTTCCAAGGTTCAGATCCCGGGCTCAGACATGCACCACTCGTCAGCCATGCTGAGGTGGCATCCCACATACACATGAAGGAGGATTGGCATAGATGTTAGCTCAGGGTTAATCTTCCTCAAGCAAAAAGAGGAGGATTGGCAGCAGGTGATAGCTTAGGGTGAATCTTCCTTACCAAAAAAAAAAAACAACCAAAAACCCACAATGAGATATCACCTTACATCTGCTAGAATGGCCATCATCAAGAAGACAAGAGATGACAAGCATTGGCGAGGATGTGGAGAAAAGGGAACACTTGTGCCCTGTTGGTGGGAATGCAAATTGGTGCAGCCAGTATGGAAAACAGCATGGAGGTTCCTTAAGAATTAAAAATAGAGCCAGCATTCTCAGTGGTATTGGTCCAGCAATCTCACTGGTATTGGTATTCATCCAAAGGAAATGAAATGAGCATCTCAAAGAGATACCCACACCCCCATGTTCATTGCAGCGTATTCACAATAGCCAAGACAGGGGAACAACCTGTGTCTGTCGATGAATGAATGGATCAAGAAAATGTGATATATATATATGTATACACACACACACACACGGTGGAATATTATTTGGACATAAACTGAAGGAAGTCTTGCCATTTGCAACAACATGGATGGACCCTGAAGGCATTATGCTGAGTCAAGTAAGTCAGACGGAGAAATACTGCATGATCTCACTTCCATGTGGAATCTGAAAAGGCCGAACTCATAGAAACAGAGAGTAGATTGGTGGTTGCCAAGGGCTGGGGGCGGGGGTGGGGGTGGGTATAGGGAGATGTCGGTCAAAGGGGAAAAACTTTCAGCTATACGATGAATAAGTTCTGGGGATCTAATGAGTAGGAGAGTGACTAGGGTTAATAATATTGTATTGGATACTTGAAAGTTGCTAAGAGGGTCTATCTTAAATGTTCTCACCACCGAAAAAAAGGGATAGTAATTATGTGAGATGATGGAGATGTTAACTAACCTTTTTGTGGTAATCATTTTGCAATATATATGTATCAAATCATCACACTGTACTCCTTACACACTGTTATATGTCAATTATATCTCAACAAAGCTGGGGGGGAAGCACACATAATGCAAAATAGCCAAGGGTAAAGTAAAAAAAGATGACCAAATATTGGGTAAATGCCAAGAAAAATGACAAAGATATCAATAGTACTTTCAGATTAAAAATCATTCAAAGAGGGAAAAAAGAGTAAATCCACAAAGAACCTATGATGTTAGGAACCTTGATGCACTTAACAGCACAGCAAAAATGTAAGCAAGAACTGCTGGAAATGTGAGATTGACATAAACACGCCAGCCTCATAGTTTGCTACTCCTCACATGAACCTCATTTTCCAGTTATGAGTTTACAGGTTCTCCACTCTCTCCCATACCTCCATGTCTTTGCATAATTTGTCCCCTCTGCCAAGGCAGGGCTTCCCCAATCCTGGCCACTGCATCCCTTTTACATGAGATCTGGCCCACTCCTGTTGCACTGGCGTCATTCTTAAAATGAGAGCTTGGTGAGGTAGAGAAGGCAAGTCCCAATGACAGGCGCATTGCAGGAGGCCGTCGGCATCATGGGACAAGGGCAGGATAAAGGCAGGTCACACCGTCACAAGTGAGTGGAGCACAGGTGTAGTGGACATCATGGCTGCCTTCCCAACATCCTTTCCACTCATCCCCATTGTGTGGCAGCCACCACCCACTCCATCCTAGTCACCGAAACAGGTTCAGTTACGCTTAGGTTAAGATCCACTGTGTAAATGCCTGCTAATGGGTACAGCGTTTCTTTTGGGGTGATGAAAATGTTCTAAGATTGCTTGTGATGGTGACTGCACAATTCTGTGAATATACTAAAAACTGTCTGATTGTACGCTTCAAATGGGTGAACTATATGGCATGTGAATTATATCTCAATAAAGCTATTATTTGAAAAAAAAAAAACAGAAAAGAAAAGAACCACCGTGTGCATTCCTCCAGTCACAAGAATTAATTCAAAGAAGGTAAAGCTCAGGACTTCTGTTGGGAATTCTGGGATATAGACAACTTGCTGTAGACATGGGTGAAAAACAAGTAGCCCCAAGGAGTTGGTGGTCACACGATGGGGATCCAGGCTTAGAACAAAGAGGACACCACATCCAGCAATAAAAAGAAACTTTAAAAACTAGGTCCTAGATGATATCATTGAGCAGTTCAATCTCAAAAGGGACACCCACACGGTGCATTTTACACAAGATGTCCTCATCTGGGGAGGTGCCGTGGTTTTTCATCCATCCCCTCTTGACAGATGCTGGGGTTCTTTCCATTTGTCAATATCACAAGGAACCCTGAGATAAACACCTTACTCTCTACCACCTTTTCCTTTGTGCCGAGGTAACAGGAGGAGAGAGTGCTACAAGTGCCACTGCTGAATGAAAGGGGTTGTGGAATTTTGACATTTCTTGCCAAATTGGCTTCCAAAAAGGATTGTTCTGTTGGATTTGTTTGTTTGCTTTTGTTTTTGCAGCCCAGAACAGGGTGTTGGTTTTGCTCCTGCTGTCTATCTGGCCCCGTCTTGTGTGGTCCTGTGCCCTGGAGGCCCTGAGGCTGTATTTTGCCCTCAACTTGAGATGCCACCCATAGATGTCCCCCCAACTTCCGGAGGTGTGAGCTACCACTCAGGGCCAGCGTCAGCGAGGTATGACCTGCTCAGTCACACAGGGACCCATGCTTAGAAGGGCCTCATGCTTGGTTTAATGCCCCACTATTATCATCTTGAAATTCTTAGTGATTTTTGAACAAGGGGACTTATGTTCATTTTGCATGTGGCCTCTCCGGAGAGCACCTTACTCTTAGACTCTGGCTGTGCCTTTCCCCAGGAGTCCTGTCACACACCGAGCTCGACTCCAAGTTATAAACGCTCCCATCCTGAAACACACTCAAATGTGGAAAGCAAAGAAATCTCAGGTCCACGAGTGCCCACAGGAAGAGGCAGGGCACACAGCCTCTCCCCGGCAACAGCTTGGCCGTTTTCCCCAAGCAGAAGCTTCACTGGAGACCAATTCCCAGTTAATTATAAAATTGGCTGTTCCGCTTTATTTATTCTTTTCAAGAAAACTGCTAGTCAGTGCGCCTCCTGTGAATCCGTTTGGTACCCCATGCTGGTGCACAGCTCGGTTCCTTTCGTTGCTCTGCGATTCGCTTGGAAATTACTAGCATCTGTGTGTTTTCACGACAATTTGAAAACCGCGGTGAGTAAACCAAAACAGAAGGCGTCAACTGTGTCACCGCTTTGACGGCTAAGTGGTGAGAGGGGAGCAATCATTTC